AAAGGTGGTTCAAACAAGCGTTTTGGTTATAATCATCCTCCACTATGCATGAGTGATGTATTAGTATTTCTATACCGATTGATATATAGTTGGTTAGTTTAGATTAAATTTGTGTTCCCACATTAATTTACTTTTATTAATAAATTATAACTTGCAAGTTAAGTTGATAGAGGTGGAATTTACTTAATTTTGTTTATCATTTTAAACAGTGTGATACTAGAAGTTTTTTTAACTTTAAAATCTGTGTGTAGCTTTTAAGGTAGCAATTTAAGTTTTTAATTCATTCTAGGTACGTCTCCCCCGGAAGTATGTTCTTGGACGAATCAATCATTTAAGCACCTGTTTTCACAACCCATTTGCTCTGCACATTCTTATTAAACTAAATACAATAAATACGTTCAAGTCTGCTCTGCCTGATTTCGATGGCAAATTTTATAATATCGTGAAATATTAAATAATATTTCAGGATACTACACTGGAATCTTTAGTAATATCAACGGAAATTGGTAGTGTATTAACAGTCCCTTCATAAAAAACTAAAATGATTAACAACACTAAGGGAAGGAGAAACTGATGGCAGCAATAAGGGAGATAAACAAAAACAAGAAATGGACAATAAAGGTGATAAGAGAAACAAAAGTAAAAACATAAGAATGATAGAATGGAACTCAAGAAATGTGAAAGATACCAATCCACTCATGAGCGCTATATCAAACATGTCTAAGATATATACCCAATATCAATTAATAGAGAAAAAGCATGGGACACATACTTACATGGAAGGGTTTCAGCAAAAACGGAATGCATTGATTGGTGGATTGAAAACGCAGAGGTTCCCAGAAAAGAATTATTGGAAGTCATAGAAGTGGTTTGTAGGAAACATAGAAAAAGTGTTAGTGATTATTATAATATTGATTGAGGAAGAGCTGAGTTTCAATTTGGAAGAGTGGAATTAGAGAAAGTTAGAATGAGGACTCAAACACCATTAATAGAAATACCTCATAGCTTAAGAGATGAGGCCTTAATACAGGCAGTTTTACCAAACCAACAATGACGCGATCTACTAGAACAATACATACGATTACCCGGCGAATACTACGGCGAGAAATGCAAACATTAAGAAGCATTAAGAAAAGCGCAAGTGCAAAGAAACGCAAATAATACGCAAACCTTCTTCATTCACGACGAGCTACCGGCGAGCACATACGTCCTCGTACATAATGACGCATCAAGCTAGCCGTCGACACCTAACTACAACGGGCCATATCGAGTCATAGAAACACATGAGAAGTTCTACAATATCGAGCTACTGCACAGGAATGCAAACATATCTATAGACAGATTGAAACCGGCATTCTGCACAAATAACTGGAGGCCTACCATAACCATTCCAAAAACAATCTTATTTCAATGTAAGCTTATTATAATACTACTCATATACGTACCATGACGAGTAGTAGTAGTGTTCTTGAACGAATCAATCATGCACGCACCTTATTCTGACTACATGTTCTATCTGCCATTTCCATTTTTTAACCGACTTCAAAAAAGGAGGAGGTTCTCAATTCGTCTGTATGTTCTTTATAACTCCGGTATTTGTGAACCGATTTTCATGATTCTTTTTTTGTTAGAAAGGGGGTAATTCCTTAGTAGTCCCATTTCATTTTGAACAAAAGCATCCACCTCGAAGGATGGCTGTTCTCGCATGAAGATTCATTTTTATAAAAAGCGCCTAACTTTAATTTAGGAGCAATTACTTTAATGGTTGATTTTGCTACTTCTCTAATTCAATGCGTTTTTCTCTCAATATACTTTGAGTAGTGAGAACCGATTTTTATTATGTCCAGTGTCAAGTCCAAGTATAGTGGCGAACTAGGAGATATTTCGAAAAAACTTAGCAAATAGACGTAATTCCACTTACTTTTGAGGTCGGTTTTTTTAGTACTCTGTACTGAGATTATTCACAACTCATTTGCTCTGCACGTTTTTATTAAATTAAATATAACAAATACATTCAGTAGGTAAGTCAAAAACAGTGTATTAGTTACTGAATGAAAGCAAATTCATTAACTTAATACAGTCATAGCAAGCAACCAAAACTAATACATTTTTTTTTCTCAATCGAAGTGGTCGGGAAAACCATTTGTGCCCAATTGTTAAATTTTAACATTCTTCAGTTCCTGTAGGCCTAGCATGAAAGGGTGCAACTGGCGCGAGAGCGACGTAAAGCGCAAAATACTTCTAATCTCACGTAGAGATTTTGCGCTCTATCGCTACAGACTACTGGTGGTAGAAAAATAATTATATGATTGCGTGATATATATATGATGATGATATTTTGTAATAATGGAAAATATCCATTATTACAAAATATCACGATCAGTAATCATCTCGTTATGTATGTACGTATGACGTCACACTTAAACCTTTTATATTATTTTGTGACCTACGGCTCACAGACAAGCTAAAAATTGTTCTAATAAATTAATAATGTCTTCATGCGATCACAAATTAATAATTATTTTTCTGTTTACAATTATTAAATTGACATCTCTAGTCAGCGACTGGTAGCTGTAAAAGTACCTCGTCGAGTGTAGAAAAACTTTAAGATCTCACAGTGGCATAGTTTGCATAAGCCAACAGATACAATAATGAGGTTCTATGTAGCAGTCTTCAATAGCTAGAATGAGTTTATCGTCGGCTCACTGCGAACCGCTCGTGTTCCATTCGCGACAAGCTTGCCAACCACGTACACATTAAGACTTTTTGTAACATAACATGTAACGGTTACGGTTTGGCCTCTCTAGTGAGTACGCGGCTTTAGGCGTCTGCCACGGTTTGCAAGGACACGATAGTTTCCTATTACTTCAATATCGTATTCTGTTGCTATTTTTCTCTATCAAACTCCTCTTTTGTTAGAACCGTGTTCTTTGAAGTGAAGCGGTAAATAAATCTTAGAAGTGTGTCTACCGAATCACAGATATATTAATTCACGTTGAGCATAAATTACAAGCATACCTCACAGCAAACTGATGAATGTCGTTCAATAAAGTGGACATTTGTCTAAATGTTGAAGTGGACTGCTGAAGTGGACATTTATGTAAAAGTTCAGTAGGGGACAGTCAATATGTTTTAAGGGGTCATGTTTTCAGTCCCAAATAAAATGTACATTGATCTATGTCCCAACCAGCTTTACATTGAGTGATTGCCGACCATTTATCATTAAAGAGCTTCTATAGAACAGATTTAGTATTTTACTTGTAAAGGGTGTCTCAATAAGAGTGCACTTTTTAAGTTTATAATCATTTAGGAAACCAACCTGGTTTGTTTGAAAAAAACAATTATACGCGATTTAAATCCGGAAAAATAGTGTCATTTCCTATGTGTAACAATCGCGAAAACCTAAGAATTAGAATCATTTTTTTTTTCGTGCAAGTGGCAACTCTGAAATTTGACAGCCGTCACCTATATTTATTCCGATTATTAAAAATGGAGGGTTTCACGAAAGAGCAACGCGTTATAATTGTGAAAACTCATTACAAAAATGGGGAAAGTTACGCTGAGACCGCTCGCAAACTTCGCCAAATTTTCACTCGAGAAAGTGCACCTAATGTGTCAACCATTCGAAGAGTGGTCAAAAAATTTTAAGAAACTGGGTCGATTGTGGATATTAAGACTCGGACTCGATCGGTCTCTTGAAAACATTGCTGCTGTAAACGAGAGTGTCGCCGAAAACCCGAAAACATCAATTCGGCATCGTTCTCAGCAACTTCAAATTTCACGAAGCACTTTGCATTTTATTCCATACATAACTAGAACATGTCTTCTTCGAAATATAATAAAAATATCACAACTGTCTCATAAAATACGTGTTTTTATTTTAAAATAAAAAGTGCACTCTTACTGAGACACCCTTTATAAGGGTAAGTCAGTTTGACCAAATTTGGTAAATGTGTTCTTTAAAATTCATCCATTCGTGTTACAGCGGTGACACTACACATGCTGCATAGCGATACAGTCGCTATATATCTCAGCTCGAACTCCAATTTTTCCCATAGGTACTAATATGGTTCATTGTGCTTTAAAAAAATTAATCGCGATGCAATTACCTTTTTGGGTTTAAATTTACAATTAACAGAACCGGGTGCATAAACATATACAGATTTTTCGCACATAACTGTATCGATGCAGTCGTGCTTTTGTATCGATGCAATCGCCTATAAATCTCAAGTGTTGCGATGCTATCGTGCCTTTCAGTTTGTATCGCTGCTAAAACTCGCCGTGTGTAACGGCCCTTAACATATATGATCCTTTCCAACATTTCAAATTAAGAAAACGACGCCTCGGTGAGCAACCTTTGACCGACTTACAAGATTTTGTAAAAGGTTGCTGTAATTAATTAACGTATTTTTGTTTGCAGTATCTATTTTATGAAATACATTTTTATTATCATGATAACGATATACACATATTTTTTGTGAAAATACGCCAAAATGCAAACAAACATTCTGACTGGAACTGAACCAGCATTTGTTGCCTAACTGTGGCTACGCTTTTACCAGCATATTTCTATGTGTGTCTATAATGTAAGCATTATTGAATTCTGGTTTTGTAGGTTAATGGTTCTGGAATTACAGACGCATGGCCCTTGATAACTTATGCTTCAGAGTGACGGGCACGGTAGCTTTTAATCACAAAGATGTGAGGGACAGTCTTCGTGATTAAAAGCTCTCAGTGGCACTGCAACTTCTATGGACAGGCGTATCGCTTACCACCAGCCGCATAACTTGGTTCGTCCGATCACTTGCTAACATAAAAAAAAACCAAGAGAACTTCAGATCGAGTCACTAGATCTTACGAATGTCAATATGTGCCGGTTGCAGGTCACTGTATTGGGTTCAAACAGTTTTCTTTTACCGTAGCGCCTCCTAAGAGAAACTTAAGTTTCTTCACAAAACCAAAGAGCCCCCATTAATCATACTAATTTTTGTTTGTTACAGTGGGTCTAGTCGGCGGGTAGGATGTAGCGCCATGCATCGCTTAGTGCTGCTGTTGGCGGTGCTCTCAGCGATTGCGCCTCAAACTAACTTCACTAGTAAGTATAATCATAATCTAGCGATCTTTTACTTTTTCAACTACTTTTGGCTAAATCCCCGTAGCTTTGGAGTTAACACACGTACGTAAATAATATAAATAGGCTAACGATTGTCTCTCTGTCAAGCAGTGATGTGCGAAATAATGTTATTTGTGCAGAACAGCAGTGCTTCACAAAAAATATACAAATACATTTTGTAGAACACACCAATATGTGTTCTTGTTTTTTTAAAAGTGATAGTGTTTTTTAAAAGTGATAGTGTTTTTTCGGTCGTTTATCTAACTGTATTTATTTGAAAAAAAAAAACTTAGTGACTGTCATTCGTTTTAATTTCCTACTAATACAGTCGAGTCGGGTGATTCGTTGATTTTGCGTTCTTGTAACTTTCGTAAGCATGTTGATATTTTTTTTGTTTTGATTTTCAGCAAATTCTGCTTTATCACAAAATTGAAAAGAAACAGTATTGTATTTAATTTAATTTTTTTTCTATAATAAGGCTGTGCTAAGTTATTGTCAAAAGATGTTAATATAATTGCCACTTTATCGATTTCTGGCTCTTGTTTACTTAAATATAAACCTATTTTATAATCTTTTTGGTTTGGTCTGATAAATTTTTCTTTTTTTAACAGTCTTTTTTATAACATCAAATGGCGGGACGAACAAGTCGTTCGCCTGACGGTAAGCTACACGCCTGTCCATAACAGTTGCAGTGCCACTCAGAGCTTAGATCTTAGCGACACTGCCACTGCGCCCGTCACCCTAAGACATAAGTTGACAAATCACATGTACCTGTAATTTCACCAGCACCCTTACCCTTCAAAACCGGAACACAGTAATGCTGACATTACTGCTTGGCAGCAGAAATAGTTAAGGTGGCAGTACACTGGATGAACCCTATCACCAAGGAGCTCCACTGCTATCGATCGGTACCGCTTTCTATTAAACAGGCACGAGAAACACGAAACATTTTATTTTTGTAAATTTTCATAGTAATTTGGTAACGAATAAACAAATAAACTTATAGCAGTTCTCATCTTGCCCTTTGCAAGGCAACCTCCATCACAATAGGGTGGGGGCATCGGATATTCCACTTTGCACTTTACAAATGACAATAAAAACGAAGACAATAATTACATTTCATTTTCTTTCAGGAACTGTCCGAATTATTTATTACACATTACTTGATATTTCTATAGAAAAATTTTAAAATAGTGCCCCAGGTTATTAAAGTGCCACTGTAACTAGTGATGGTTGGCAGAAGCGAAACAGTTTGACGGCATTCGCGATCTAAATCCATTCACAAATGTTCGGAGGTCATGAATTTTGCCTACGATCAACTTCTACCAGCGACCTTTCCCATCATGACGAATTCTGTGCTTGTATCTGTCGTATCTAAGCACGTGGCTACGATGTGACTTTTCCAATAATGGAGTATTATTAGTACACCTTATACAAACAAGAGCAACGATTTCAAAATAACTGGCAACCCTGGGACAGGGAAATCGAACCTTCAGCTCAAAGAAGATGAAGATGTACCGTACCTACGTCACTTTATTAATGCTGAATTTTATTCCAAAATTGAACACTCCTATTTTGTTCCTTCAGTACTATTTCCAATTGTAAATATAATAACTGTAACTTTTTCAATGCAAAAAACCGACCTCAAAAGTTTACTTATCGGCTTTTTTCGATTTCCACCGGATCCGTTCATCATATTCTGACTTCTGGTGACAATGGTACTGTTACGGACTCCTACACTTCATATTTTTTTCTGGTTTTCCTGGTGACGGTGATCTGTTGATACATACATGTATTGTGTCAAGTCAAAAATCGACTTTTATTTGCGGAAAACCAGTTTTTAATTTGTCATAGCCGAAACGAACCCGGAATAGCATCATCGGTATCAGGGACCACATCCAGAGTATACCCTTACCAATAAAAAAATAATTTTCCAAATCGGTCCACAATTGATGGAGAAATCGGTATGTACAAGCCTATACAATTGAGAATTTTCCTCGATTTCCATGGATTTCCTTATCAGATCCTGACTTGGTGACAATGGGACTACCATGACAATGCCCCTTTGAAACAAAAAAGAATTTTCAAAATCGGTCCATAATTGACGGAGAAATCGGAAAATATACGAAAAAAACGTATAACCTCCTTTTTTGTAGTCGGTTAATAAAATTGTCCGAAATTTAGCGGATGAAGATCTCTAACACAAACTCATTCTCACTCACTCAGGTATGTATGAAATTAAAAACGCAGCCAACGAAAAAGCTGAATTCAAAATAATTGGCAGTGGACGTCTCTGCGTGCGTCCGCAATATTAACTCTGGCACGAGTCGGCTGATTATTATATCTGAAGTACTCTATACTCGATCATTCAGCATGTTCATATTCAAATATCCATATTCCCGTCACATTTATGGTATTTACCATGTGTCAGAGAGGGCTAGGCAGAAATGCTCTATGGAATCTATAGATAAATTTAGATCATTCGAATACGAAAATTTGTAGGTAACTATTTTGTCATTTGAATGGCAGGTTAGTAATTACTAACGAGTCGAAAATCGAAATCATTCGCAGTTGCGCATCGCTATTCCTGTACATCTTTTGTTCACACATTTCGTATTTTGACGTTTGTGGTGAAACTCCTTGCTACAAAATTAGTACTACATACATATGGCATCTAAAGCTAACTGTCTACTCATGCCTCCGCATAATGTCAACTACATTTAACTTTGTTTATGTGCGTGATCCCGCGCCCTTTGGTTATAAGTTTCAAACCCGTGAATATTCCCAATGAGATCGGGAACGATTTAGTCGCAGGGGTATAAATCTTTAAAACTACTTATATAATTACGAAATAACTAAAGAACGTTGAAATAAAAATACACACTACGAGGGTCACGCTAAAACAAATTAGATTTCCAAAAATTGTTAAGATTTATTCTTTATTAAGGGTATCAATATTCTCAAAGTACTCACCATCGACACGATTCACCTTGGACATGTATACACTTTTCTTTTTGTCTAAACCGCTTCGGAAATACCGACGACCACTCTCCTTCAGACACCTCAGAAATCTTAGCAGCCAAGGCATGTTCTTTCTTTCAAACCGCTTGTCTTTATCTTTTTCGGAAATAGTAAAAATCACAAAACGCTTGGTCAGTGGAATATGGCGTGAGAGACAGGGTAGATACATTTTTTTTAATGTGTCGAATATTTTGGCTGAAGCGGCGTTCTCGTAACATCAGAAGAAGTGCCGGTCCCTGACTACATGCGCTTGTCACACTACGCGGACAACACTGTTTCACGCCATTCAGAGTTAGCTGTACTTTGATAATTTAGCACTACAGTTAACAATGTGTCCCGTCTTTCAGAAAAATGAGGCGACCATTTGTTTCTGTGTGCTTATTGCACGACGACATTTCGCTAGAGTCGGCTCGTCTTTAAAGCACCATAGTGTGGACTGTCGCATAGTTTCTGGATCATAATGTATAATATCTATGTTTTATCAACTGTCAGTATATCAAACGTTCTTTTTCTTGCTGGCGTCGAATACATCTAACATAAACTTGCACCAATCCATGCAACGTTTTTTCTACTCATCGTTACATTCGGATGTAACTTATCTCGAACAACGCTCATGGAAAGACAGTTGTCCGTGAATAATATCTGTCTGCAATGGAACCTATCTCGAACAACGCTCATGGAAAGACAATTGTCTGTGAGTAATATCTGTCTGTAATGCTGCTGATCCAATGCCCAATTCTTGCTCAAGCACTACAAGTTGTGATTCGTCGGTTTTCACAAGTATTTTTTTCGATAGCTTAAACGTTTTCTAGAGTCATTGCGGGTGGCGGCCGACCTGGCTTTCTTCAATCCTTCCCCGTTCTCTTTTAAATTCAGCAAGACCATTTGAAAACTAGCTCATGACCAAGCAGAACTACCAAGAGTTGTGGCTAAAAGTTCAAAACATTCTTGCGGTTTTAAACCATTTTTATAGTCATAATAAATTATAACATGAAAATCACATCGAAAGAACTCTATTGTTGCGAACAAATTCCCGCCTAAGTATCTTTGAAAAAATGGTCTTCCATTTTCAAATTTATGAGCAAAAAACCTGCTATGTCGACGGTGTGCAAAAAACTTGCTATGTCCACGGTGTATAACTTGCCAGTATGAAACGAATGAAGAAAGAGTATCTAATTTCTTTCTGCGTGGCTCTCGTATGAGCGAAGTTACTAATTTAAAAAACAGAGTATCTAATTTCTTTCGGCATGGCTCTCGTATGAGTGAAGTTACTAATTTAAAAAATAATTACAACTTCGTTTTGCTCTTTTTGTTTATTAAGCAATATACCGACCAAATTTAATCAATGTACGCTATATACTTCTCATTTTACAAACGGCTAAGTAGACACGCCCTTGGCCCAAGATCCTTAGTATCGTATCATAATGCGCAACAACACACATTAGCGATACCGAGCAAGTTGCAATTGTCCTCTTTATCATTAACGTACATCCGATTTGTTGAAACCCGAACTGCCATTTCGAAGTTTGTCTTTCGAACTACAGTAATACAGTCCAACAAAACTACGTCACATGACATCGGATGTTCTTATCGCGGTATAATAATGTTAGGCTACATTCATGCGGACCACGCAAGCAACAAACAAACTCGACACAAGTCGACGGATAATAATGTACATTTCCTCTATTGATTAAAAGTTAGATATTACTTCTCTCAGATATTGACGAGTCACCCACGACAACAATTACGATGCCGCCGACCGTGTTCAAAAATCCACAGCGAGCAGTGACGCCTAGGCGCGCCAAGGGTGAATCGCCCATGCTCAACTATATATTCGACTCCTATGCGGCGAACAACAGACATTTCCACGACAAGTAAGTAAAACTATCTCGGATTCAGTTGAAAAGCGTGCCAACAGACTGTTGTGACTTGTTTCAGATTTGTCACCTTGCGTCTAAAAAAAAAAGCTCTGAGTAGCACTAGAACTTAAGTGACTTGTTTTAGACGTGTCAACTTATGTCTCAGGGTGACAGGCGCAATGGCAGCGTCTCTCAAATCTTTGCGATTTAAGCTCTGAGTCTGTGTCTGTCTGTGAATCTGCGTCTGTACAACTGCTATGTACAGACGTGTCAATTAACTGAAGAAAAATTGTTTTACCGTGGCTGTAATTATTTAGTGTGGTTAGGAAGTACCTTTGCCGTGATTATAGGTTTTAGGAAGATCGATTAAGATTAACGGAGTCGTATTTTTTAAGAAGTTTCGTCAACTGAGTGAACGAAGATATCTTCGTGCATACACTTAGCAGCTCAGTTTATTATCTGTATTACTATCACAACACAAAAGTGGTTCGTGCGCGTATTGTGATAAACGTGTCCGTATATAAGGTAACGAGATGTTTATGTGTAGGTCATGCGGCTTTAATTGTGTAATCTTTCTGGAAACCTTGTAGGCGACCCATCCCTATATATTTATTTATTTAAGATGATATTAGAAAACTCTTTCTGCCTGGACTCGAACCGGTATCTGTTGCCATGCCAAGGCTACCACTTTTAACCAACTGAGCTACACTAGCTCTACTCTTAAGCTAACAGACAATGGTCCGAAAGCAGTTTTGGAGTTTTTTCTTAAGAAAAAAATATAAGACAATCATCGATATTCAATAAATAAATATTTCAACTTAAAGACATTATAAAAACTATTTTGCATGCACTACCACAAAGCAGTACAAGTGTGCTATCCTAGCATGTTCCTTTACATGTTGAGACTAATTGTGGCTAATAGCGGCCGTCGTTATCACATTTGAAGCTCTAATGAAGAACCTTTTTGAATCTAACCATATTTAAGGAAAACCGATTAAATAGCTTATCCATATTGTCTTCTTGTAAATTATTTCAATTAGCGAGGCTTTATGTTAAAAGTTTAGCCACCTTCTTTGTTCCAAACGTAATTACAATTAGACGGCGAATTTTTCTAAAATGTCCCAAAAAGTCGAAAGTTTATGAAAATAAGTTTAAATTTGGAAAAGCGAGAATTTCGTTTAGTGACGGTATTGTTTTGAAAGTGCGACATTATAATTAATTAATACGAAATACATATTTGTCTAGTATTTCTTCTAACCCTAGAGTGGTATGGCAGTGAGTGTTGGGTGTGGCAGAAAAAAGCATGAAAGTATGGTGAATGTTGTAGAATTTCGAGCCTAATCAAAGAATATGAGCATTAAGACTTTTAAATGTAAAGCTCATGTTCAACTGTTCCCAAAAAATTGGCGTAACGCAATCAATTTCTTTTTTAAATGTATACCTCACATTTAGATACGGATATGTATAATTAAGAACATTATTACGTCATAACGACAGCTTCATTTGACTTACAATGAATGACGTTTGGTAACTCTACCAATAGCTGCCCGTGAAAATGACAGCTCACAAATTTAATTCCATTTAAAAAAGCCGCGTGTTCTTTAGTCCATTTTTGGCAAATGTATTTTGTATGGACATAGTAGGGTGTATAGTAATCTAATTTACAAGAATATTATTCGACTTTAATATAATTCGAATTACATTCCCAAAGCGTCTTTGCAAAGGTCTACGTGTATCTGATACAAAAAATAAACGATATACAACTGCTACTTTCTGTACTAATTGATGTAGGTTTTTAGCACAAGTGGATACAGGTATCCAGAATTTTTAATAATTTATCAAGAAAATTATGCAAATTAATTTTGGGAATATCGCTCGAATCATATTTAAATTATTAGTGACATTCCCAAAACGATGGATTCAAATTTCAACCTGTATCTGATAGTAAAATAAACGATATACATCCACGACTCCTTTTAGTATGATTCGACATGACTTAAAATATTGACAGAAAAAATGTAAAAGTTTCATTATTTCTTGACTTATATTGTGATACAAAAAATTGGTGTACAGACGTAAACACGTACATTAGAGGTTATAAGGGACGATTTGAAGTTAAAGTAATTTGGGTACGCTTAATGAATTTAGAAACTTTTTGGCACAGTCGATTTTACATCGGCTTACTTAGCCTGCCGCTGCCACAGTCACACACGCAAATAATATGACCGCGGTTTGCGCGGGCCGGCACCGGCAGTTTTTTCACGGAACTGTTTAATATGTGTTTGGAGACTACTTTGTAAAAAATAGCAGTTTTGTGCAATTAAGCCAATTTTTCAGGTTTAGTTCGCCTTCTTTTGATGACGACAATTCTTCTGAAAGCAACATTGAAGCATACACTGGTGCAACGGTCTTCTTCAATTGTCGCATTTCATCTTTGAGAGACAAGCTAGTAAGCATCAATATTATTATGCTTATACAAATAGAACTATATAATAATCCTCTCTTCTAGTCGGTAAGACGATTTCGGACGATTTCGGACGACTTCGGAAGACTTTTGTATATTCTTTTTGCTATGTTTTTGTTTTGCATTATTGATATTTTGATAGTCAGTCTGTGTTTCTTATTTATTGTATTATATTGCGTTTTCATCTAAGTATATGTGCTTATTGCTGTCGCTTTCCTCACTCCATTTCCCGTACAGTCAATATCATTCACTTCATTTTGACTTTTTTTTATTTTGACTATTTTTGCCGCCCCGCAGTAATGTCTTACGATTTTGCAGGGTAAGGTTACTGGTGAAATTATAGGCGCATGGTACTTATCAACTTGTGTCTCAGGGTGACAGACGTAGTGGCAATGTCCCACAGATCTTTACAATTTAAAGTCCTGAGTGGCACTGCAACTTCTATGGACAGGCGTGTCGCTTAACACCAAGCACGTCTAGTTCATCCTGTCACTTGATATCATATAAAAATTAACATGAGACAACCTATATTTTGGATTGTGTAGAAAATAAACAGTAAAAAAAGAACAAATTTTATTGATGACGAAATGAGTATGGCCATACTGAGAAAACGTACGTTCATAATTTAAGTAGATTAATTTTCCCTCAACTCCGGTCAGTGCTGATAATAAGGACGTTCACTTTTTCCATTCCTTGTTTACAAATATTAAATTATAAACTGCATCAGAAACAAAAAAAAAACTAAAATAATATCTATGTATATATGAGTGACCTTGGTAGTCGCCTACGACTTTTCTATCGACTCTCCTTTGGCAAAAGTTCCGTAGAATTTATAGAATGACCCATGTTTAGCACTGCCATCCCTGGAAATAGTCCGGCCTAGACTTCCATTGCTGCTTTCTACATTTTTCATTATATGCTTAACCTAACGAAGCACAACGATGAATGGGCATTCTTGGAAGTAGGTACTGATTGCATGATTGTATGCTAGCGGTTTGTTTGGTTAATAGCGACTCTGTATTTTTATAAAGAGACGTGGTTAAGAAGTTACCAACGGCACCCCCATTGTGCCCGGTAAATTATTCGTAAATTATTCACAATTCATAGGTTAGAATCCCCTTGCACACACACACACACATATATCTAAATTAGTAAATGTTTGTTTCAGGTCTCTTGGGTAAAAGTCTCTGAAGTTAGTACCGAAATGGAGTTGCTGACAATAGATTTAAATACTCACACGTCAGACAACAGGTAAAAGAAAATGAAATTTAAATCATTCCATTCCTTTCCATCAGTTCCATTTATGGTCAACTGTCAGAAGATCCATTGATTTGTTATCAATTGTCATAAGTTTTTTATCAATTGTCATAAATTCCATTTGTGGTCAAATGTCATAAGTTCCGTTTGCGATCAATTATCGTAAGTTACATTTATGGTCAATTGTCGTAAGTTCCATTTGGTCAATTATGTAACAAATAATTTTGTTTTCTCGCGTTTAGGTACAGAGTAGATTTGGGAGGAGAAAACTGGCGTTTGATATTACGTGAAGTGAAAGTTCAGGACTCCGGAGTCTATTGCTGCCACGTTTCAACCCATCCCCCATTGTTGAAGCATGTCAAATTGACAGTTTATCGTGAGTATAACGAAATCATCTGGTAAGATATGCTTGGTGACGTATTATTAGTTCTTAATGCATTCCTCACGAACTATTACAAAACGCTGTGCGATACAGTCGTTAATAGCAAACAATAAGGATACGTTTCTTTTACAGCGCCCGAAATAAAACTGACTACAGAAGTATTTGTAGAAACCAGCGAAACCCTCTCTTTGAAATGCATGATATTATATTTGGATCCGGGAGATACGAAGCCGGAATTGCACTGGTATAAAGGAAATAGCACTGTATCTCTGGATGAGTTACGTGGCGGAGTTTTCATCGAAACGGATCTGAATAATCTCACAAGTCATTTGCAGGTAAATATAATCAGTTACTTACCAATTCACAATTATGTTTAGTGTAGGGTTGTAACGAAATTACTCCGTACGTCGTAGCAACCGCGAAGTGAAGCTAAGCGAAAACTTTGTGTGCTACAGCGAAAGTTGACATGTCATACTTGATTGATGTGACTTATAGATTGAATGGTACACAGCTTTAGCTCGACCAGACGCGAAAGACCGTGGCGGACATCTGAAGAAGCAACCCCTGATCTTAAGCACATCGACCGATATTCTCAGGGTAACCAATATGTTTCGTAATCTCGTCTTCTAATTACGGTTAATGAGGCACATGCGAGGAATCAATGATAGCGAAGGTCTTGCTTTCGCATATGTGAAAACGAGACTTTCGCTTTTGCATATGCGAAAGCGGGTATTTTCGTTACAACCCTTTTACGTTACAAAAGGACTAACCTAGTCATAAACCGTTTGTGAAGGATCCTTACTTAAATATTCATAACAATAACGTTATATCTAAATTAAAAAAATTATAATCCTGCAAATTGCTAATTGGTACTCTCATATGAACACAGCATAAAATTTCTTACGATCATAAAATTACCGCGGCACGAACTAGATTACCGCATGCACGACATAAGCAATGCCAACGTAATTATGTTTTCTAACCATTATTGTCTTTGGGAGATAATACAGGACGTAGAGCCAAGGGTTAACTGCCGACAAGGGACGGAAAGATTTCGAGCGAGTAAAATTGTAACAAGAAAAAGTAAAATGATTATCATCTATAGCAGCCTCCTGACGATCGAGGCTATGCATTTTGTAACAAACAAGCAGAATATCCTGATGTAACAAAAAGCAGATTATTTAGATGTAACAAAAAGCAGAATATTCTCATATAACAAACAAGCAGAATATCCTGATGTAACAAATAAGCACAATACCCTGATGTAACATTCAAGCAGAATATCCTGAAAATAAGCTCTCATGCAAAATATTCTAGATAATTAAGTCACTATCCCAGACCGGAAGCAAATAATTCATTTTTTGTCCTAATTAATTAAAATAAATTACTATACTAACAATTAACTTACATTAGACTACGTCGCGATTATTTGAACTTTATGTTGTTTTATGTTGTAGTCGGTGTTAACAAAGCCGATCCCTTAAACCCCTTCAGGCCCCGTAATTTTACCTTCGTTCCGGCTAAATATATTTTCCGGGTTAAGTGTAACTGGCAACTTGAATTTATTCCCTCTACTCACTCGTACTGTTGTACACTTTCCTACTTTATTGTTATGCATTTGTTGTAACAGTATATTCACGCAGGTTGCTCTCCTGAAGATGGAAGACGCTGGAAATTATACCTGCTCCCTGGAAGCCCCTTTGCGTATGACAGCCGTGGCTAGAGTTCACGTTCTGCAAGGTTAGTATTATTATGAGAATTAAGTACGTTTCCCCATAAATCAAACGACAAGTTGCCGAAATGATAAATTTGTGACAAGGACTGTTAAACTTCTACTTTATTTATTGTAGACGCATTTTATCTATTCCAAGCATAGTGAAAGTCAGCTCAATTGGAAATGAACTTTTTCGGATCTAAATCAGTATATTGGTCCAAAAGATCTAACGTTTCTCGAGCTCTTTACACGATTTATCGTTAGGCTGATTGTGTGACTGAAAGAAATGTAAGAAAGTTTTGATCCGAAAAAATTGTTTTAGCAATCGCAAAAATCGAAGAACAAACTCTGTTTCTCAAATCCCATTATGCCAATAACAGCGTAATATTGCTAAGTTTTAACGAAATGTCGGAGTTGCATTACGAATTCCAAGATATGTTCCTAATTAAATTATTTACTTACAACACTTTTTAGGTTCGAGTCTGGCTGAGCTTCAAAGCGGTGTTAAGGTAACCACCAGCTATTCAAGCTTACTTATGGTAAGCCTACTGCTTGTTTTCGGGGCCAACGTAGATATAAGATGACCTAATTAAGCAAATCGCCGATCTATAGGGAGACGACGGCTGGGTAGTGCAAGAATAAATGGGATCAAAATTTTACTTACAAAATTTTACAAGCAGCTGCCGGTCAAATTTTAAAAATTTGAATATCGTCTTTTTAAGTTTAATATTCCTATTCATTCTTGCTATCAAGTCGTAAGATTAAAAAGATATAAGATCTTTATATTGAAGGAAGAGTACCGTCCAAGGATCCTTCTGATAACAATAAGGACCATTAGTGAGATTGTACATGAAATGTACGGAATGGGCAATTGGTTGTCTTGTATCAGTATGTATACAAAGTGAAAAAGTCTGATGATCATTTACAGCAGGTACAGCCGCGAATTCTGCTCCACCGGTGAAAGACACACTTTCGTTGTGTCTAGGAAAACTTTAAGCTTCACGATTGGCAATTACACAAATACTTGTACATGTATGTAATTAACTAGAATCAATAGATACAATCGTAAGCATAATTCCAATTACTTCTTTTTATTAGTCTTGGTGGAAATGAACTTGCTTTACACGTAGATGAAAAATAATTGACCCAAGTAAAGCTTTTATTAAAAGCTACAATGACCAGGTGTAAGTTTGTCAATAACATTGAAAGTAGCAAAGAGAATCTGAAATGAAATGGACTTTGTACACTTCCGACATATCAGCTTGAAGACACTTAAATATCTTCCATATCAGGTATACTTTTGGACACACTTTTGGACATACTTTTGAACAGTAAGTCACCTTTAAAAAAAAATCAAAGAGCACATAGTTATAAAATGTCAGAGTTTATGTACCAAATTTAACTTACAGTCACATATCTGTACAATATATCTTAAGACTTTGATAAAGAAAATCTTAATTTTTTTCTTACTCTCATTATCGCTTTGATACGGCACGTATATTGGGAAATTATAGAAAAGCTATTTGTGCGAAACTCAACCGCTTGCATTTAACGGACAGGCTAAAACGGACACTTAATGCATGCTCCAGCGACGACAATGGCAATCTAACACGGACATAATTGAGAATACAATTTCGTTGTTTTAAAAATAAAAATGTAGGCTTAATGAAATAACCGTTGATGTTGTAGCGAAACTATATACTCATTAAGTTTGTGTTAAATAAGAAATAATACCATGTATCGGCACTTCACTGTGTATATAAATTGTCTACTATGTTTTAGACTTGTCACTTTTCTACACGCACTTTTCTACTATTTTATTGTCGCTTGGAAGGGGTTTTCAAATTTATATTAATTTATCTTATTTAGAGTCAAAGTCGCTCTATGTTGTGATGCACATAACTTATTTTGTTAAAGTTTTGGGAATTTCCAAATTCACGACAACTAGCCCTTTTAACCTTATAGTTAGGTATTTATTTACGATTGCTTTCAAACTATCCTAGTGTTAGAAACTTATCAGTTTCAGCCGAAAAGTTACTCAATCAAATCTTACAAGATAAAATATATGTTATTCTGATAAAGTAATCGACCCTTAGTGAATACAAAACATGTTTTAGATGTCCACAGTGTTGTTAAAAATAGCATTTAATTATAACATTTGACATTCGATTTAAAGTACGGTGATCAATTTAAACTTAATTAATAAATATATTCATGTAAAATAGACATTAATGTTGGTTAATTTTAAAATATTTATCAGTACATTTGTGGTGCAGTGCGAAACAGGTAGTTGCAATGATTATTAAAAACAGGCAATAGTGGCCAAAAATCCTTAGAACACAATTACTGCCGGCTTTTTGAGAAATTGTTTAATTGGGGCCCACATCTTCACTCAATTTGGACAATCGAAGCGGTTGCACAACCGACTTCGAGCCGTCTTTTCCTTTTAAGAACCACTATCCGCCACTGTTGCAAAGGTAGCAATTGTGCAAAGATTCGCAATCAATATATGTATAATTTAAGCTGTCTATTTAGAAAAAGATCAGTCAATGTAGATGTTGAATAATATAGTAAAGCAACCTGCCAAACAAAACAGGTAAATTAAAATAAGATTTATCAAAATTATGTTAACATTTCAAAAAAATTAATAAAATTTAGTTTTTATATAATCAGTTGGTGAAGTTAGTTGGTTTTGATTTGTATTACGTGTAACAATTTTGGACATATCGGTGCTTTTGTTGATTGACTGTTTGTCTAGGATAAGTTAAAAAAAATGTATAAGATATTGTGATGAACTTTAAGGTTTTATAATAAAAGCTTTACAAAACGGAAGTTTTATTTCTTTTATGTAAGACTAATAAAAAAACCTGTTCCCACAAGAAAGAAGATTTATAACAAGAAACCAAAAAGGGGGTACTTGGGCACGTAGTCGTAATTAGTTTGGAACCACTGCTTGTCCTGATATTAAAGCTCTGTTCGATTAAAATAATATTTACTTTCTAAACAGGACATTTTAAATGTGAAACCATAAAAATTTGTTCAAGCCGCTATTGCAAATTTTCTTGTAACTTTTACCTCATCGCATTAACTAAAGTGTATGTTATCCCCTTATCGTAAAACATTTATTGCTTAAAACAATCAAAACAATTTTCTTGGCAGCAGTACAATCACAAGCAGAAATAATCCGGACTAAAGACCAAACAGTACGCGTTTGCAATAAATAACAAATGTAGATACGCAGAATGTAAGCGCCGTCAGGGTAAGAAGCTTATAATGTTTGGTACAAATTGTTCCTGTGCTGCTATTTTCTTAAGGCTTGAAATATGGGAAAGGATTACTCAGATAAAGAGGTTGAATTTACTACAACGGGTTGCAACGTAGTCATTTAGAAAAGTAATGGTAGTCACTTTACTCCCCGGCACGGATCTGGAAGCAAGAGGAATGGCTTGAGCCTATGAGAATTTAATTCTTGAGAGTGCTTCAATAAAACAAACTGCAAACACCTCATGATCTTCATGGCAGGTAAGCAGGGATCTATAATTTATTTTTAAGGTAAGAGGGGTACTTCTTGTACTCTTACGCATTAAGTGTTAACTAAATGATTATCACTAGTAACAGGTTTCTTACCACGGTATAACTT